GGGGGCAACTATTGAAATGTCACTTCTTCACTGCTGTGAGAAAGGATGAGAGAGAAGCTCTCATCTGGAGTTGCTGTCAGTCATTCACTAGTCAATGTCCTTCAATGCTTGTGACATGTTTAGCTTAGTAGAGGAAAGGGAGAACATGCCATTTGTAGTCACTGCATGCATTAGACTGGTAAGAAATATTAGAAACAGGGCCAACACCACTGAGGGGGAGAGCTGCAAAGGCAGAGTATTATCACGCCCAGCTAAAAAAGTAGATTGAACTGGCAGGATCACCAGGTATTTTCCGTATAATAAGTATTTTTGTTTTTTAAAAAGGGCAGCAATTGAATCCAGTATTACTGAGTGATTCATTTTTATTGCTTATTTTTTGAGTTTTCAGATACTTTAAGGGTGCATTGATGTTTGAGAATTGCATCTAATACCTTCCTCTTTAGAATTCTGGAGAAGCTGGCTCGAAGCATGTCTATACATTGTACAGTGGCAGGCAAAACATGGTATTTACGCCAAGTTCAAAACTGCTAAGACTAAACTCACAAACACAAGAAATAAAAACAACCTAACAAAATGAATGCAGTAAATTACAGGAAAAAGGGTGATATCACTACACATGTTGTGGAAATGTTACTAGGATATGTTTTTAGTGTAATATTGTCATCATGTCTCTCAGTATCCAGATTTCTGCATCACGCTCGATTGGAGCGTGACCCGGATTATTCGGCACTGGGGGTAAACCATTGGAGTGGATATGCGTGGCGGGGCAATGTTCTCTTAGCGAGTGTATGGACGCCAGCTAGGGCCCCTGCGCAGTGCGTGGATTTATTGCCGTGGCGTGTATGCGCTTGCTTTGAGGACATAGTATTATTTAAGATACATATCTGCCTTTTTGAAAGGAACATGCGTTCGTATTTCTGATGCGTCTGATCAGCTCTCTGGAAATAGTATGGCATTGTCCCTGCAGATAAGCTCTCATCCATGAGAATCATAGTAACTTTATTGGGCATTGCTCACTGAGCAATGCTGGATAAGGTTCGCTCCAGTGTTAACGGGAGATTAAAGATGGCGGCGTCCATGTGCAATCATGCTTCTTCCTTCGTGTAAGTGTTTATGGCGGGAAATCCATTGCACATGGTTTTCCATTGTTAACAAATGTGCACATGAAACATGAACCAGCAGCTGGAAACTGTGCACGGTGCTTCACATGCATGAGCATACACTCCCCTTTTCTATTGTCTATTCAGATGTATACATGTGTTTCATTGGCTGGCTCTGTGTTCTATTGATGTATGAGGAAGTGGTGGCTGTTGTGGCCATCACTTCCTGCTGATACTCCTATAAAAAAAGAAATCTCCCTCCAGTCAGGAGGACAGCAACTGAGGATCGGACAAGACAACAGCAAGTGTCTGTGTTTCCTTGCTGAGCGCGTTCGGCCAAATTATACAGGGAGAGCAGAGAACTGTGCTTTTAAGCGCAGCGGATTTAAATACGACATTAATTTCTATAACACACAGAGTCATCCAAATTTCCACAGTTCCTGTATTTCCGGGCTATTAATGCAAAGCTGACATTAGAACTGTGTTATAAATAAAGTGAATATTAAAGTAATTAACATTTCCTATTTATGAAGTGTTATTGACAATAAAATTCCACTCATAATCATTTCTTTCACTGGAGTCGTTTTTTTACTACGGGCGGACGGCAAGAGGTTAAAGCAAAAAAACTTCCATAAGCACATCATAGTGAATACTAGAAATTCTTCACAAAGCAAGGTATTTAACAGAAACAACTATTTTGGTTTGGGAAGTGACTTGGTTTTGAGGGAAGAAATAAACTACAAATACTGAACTTACTGTTTTCATTTCTTCAAATGTAATTGCCATCACATTGTCTCCATCAATATGTTTGTTCCACTCAGCTACATAATCAAAATATGATCCATAACACACTAAAAGACAAAAGAAAACTTGTAAGGCACACAAAAGAAAATATAAAATGATTACATTGTGATACACTTATAAAACTAATCTACATCCTACTGTTACTGTGAAAAAGATTGTGATTGATAAAGATTACAAAAAGTAAAAGACTTCAAACATCAAGAAAAAAAGATAGGAACCAACAATAGTGTTCTGTTATAGTGGACCTTTCCCCTTTACACTAAAAATCACATTAGCATGCAGCACTGCATACTGATATGTAATCATTTTGCATTCATTAGTTAAATAAACATATTTGTCTTTTACTTACAATTACCGTTTTTGCACTTACTGGTCCTCTTAGGCATTAGTGATGTAGCCCATGCCCAAGTGATGCATCCTGGGAAGGTTACATCACAGTGCACTGCTGGGAAATCTCAACTGTAAACTCTGGGGAATTGTTTTCTCTCCCTGAGATGGTGTGTGCATGGTCACATGTCCTACTCAAAGGGTGTGAAGGGAGATGGATTAATCTGTCTTTATTAAAAAATGGCCACTGTGAGAAGAATTGGGAGAAAAAGAAAAATAGGTATGTAACCAATAAAAAGCCTGCATCTATAAATATGTGTTTGTAGATTGCCATTACTAAACACTTCTAAAGATTCATCTGTTGTCATTTTTAAAAGGCAAGGGTAATGTTTCTCTTTACATACTAAAGATATTATACTTTTGGTAGCTTTGAGCATCCTTAATGCACTAGTTTTTATTTTTACTTGTTTTAACTAGTCTTGTTTATTAGCTGGCATATTAAGCCCTCTGTTTGTTGCCTATATTTTATCTAGTTAAGTTAAATTGTGGAGAAAAATTCAAATAAATGACAGGGATCTCTTGCTCTTGCAGATGTCTTTACACTTTTGTATTTATTGGTTGTGTCCACGTCTTTTTAGTAGATGCCAACCTTCATGCTGAACCCAGTTTTAAAGTTTATAACTTAAATACTTTTTTTTTTCCTATAACAAGATGAGACTACTTACTAGAAAATTATATACTGAACATTGTACTGTACAATGTAAAACTAAGAGGGTTATTCACTAATGAACCAAAGGATCCAGCCGTAGCTTCGGCTGATACTTCGGCTCACTTCGGCTGCCGGAGCCCTTCGGTTCACTCGAACTGAATGGCTGCTGTACGGCCTATTCACTATACCCCGTACAGCAGCTGAAGGCAGGCAATGTTTTTCTGTGTTCCCTCCCAGCTATGATGTATTTCGCCTTGTGTGTAATGTACGACCCTTCTCCTCCACTAGTCTAGTGTCATGGCTGACAGTAATAGGACCCCATGTAAGGACAGTAAGAAGACCACATCTACTTTGTATCCTTTGATCTTATGTTAGGTAAACTATCTGGCCTAGTTCCTGCTGTATGATTTGACCTATGATCCCATATAATACAGACTGATTTCCTGAACCTGACATTGGGTAAACCTTTTGATCCACTTGGGTTGGGTTTGCCCATTACCTTAACCTGGTCTCCTTGTTTTGTTTCTATCTTGTTCTTTGTGTCTCCTGACCCCTATTTTGTACCTTTTATGAGTTTAGTCTCTGGTTTTCCTGCTGTTTCTCTGCCATGAGTCATTGCATGCCTAATACATTTTGACAAGAATCCAAACCAAACCGTCAGAGTTTATGCCAGGCCTGAGTGTGTGCACTGCCTACCTGTATACTCCTGGAGTTTACTCTGTTATAAATCAGTGGGCATCTCATGCTGTCATCTGTTTGTGTGAGACACCTTTTTTCTGCAGCCTGTCCATGTATCTTACCTATCTGTTTCTCTACCAGGTCTTTCAGCATAAAGATATCTACTATAGGTAGAAGAAGCTGCCAAGACTGTAAAGCCAAGCTTGCCATGATCCCTGTTTTTTGGTCCCATCGCAGTCTACACTCTAATCTCCCAGATTTGACCTTTGACTTGACTAACTTCTCTCTTTAGTTCTTCACATTTGAATTATATCTCTGACAGTGTTTTTGACGTTCCCGTAATTCCTTTCTTTCCTTGTATACACTACTGAGTCTTTAGCTCCTCTAAGCATTAACAGTAGCTATTTGATTTACATAAAACAATATTTTAAATGTAATCCAATTAATTTAAAGGTTTCTTTCACTGTAGAGATTATAGAAAAAGAAGTTGGATTTCTCATTACTTTTTAATGAAAAAGTAATATGTTAGATTGATAAAATTACCATTCCCATGCATATAGTCCTTGAAAAACAAGTCCCAGGAATCGTAAGTGGGAAGCGCAGGCAAGCTTTTATGAAATCGGTAATAGGAGGTGGCTGCATCTTTTGGGTTGCGAATAACGAGCAATATCTGTAGAAAAAAAAGAATTAGTAGGAATTATTTCTGTCATTATGAACTAATGGCAATAGATATTTAGCTTTACCCCAAACAGTAGACAAATAATCTAGGGATGTCCCGATACCACTTTTTCAAGACCAAGTACAAGTACTGTCAATTAGGTAGTTGCCGATACCAATTACAGATACTTTTTCTTAAAAGGGACATGTGACATTTTTTCTAAAACAATACAGACTAATGATTTTAGGTACTAGTATTGGTATTGGGACATTCTTAAAAGGTGGACGTTCCCTATTATAATGTGATAACCTGCATGATAAGATGATGGTGACATTGACTCCAGTTAAGGCTAAGCTGACAGGTCATATTAACTGCATGGTAAGTTTAATTATAACTATCATTTAAACTTGCTGGATGAGTCATTAATAGCATAGTTAAGGTTTCCATTTGCCAGTATACACTGAGAAACACACATGGCAGTGTACAGTGGGGTCATGCTAGAGATCTGTCACACTGACATGCATGGACTCGCCAAGTATCATAAAACACATGGATCGGATCTACTGGATCTACACTGGAGTGTACAGGCATCTCTATCCAGAGCACATACAGGAAAACACTGACAACTTCCCATACATTAAACATGTCACATACATTGTACATCGTCCAATCAGCACTAAACCCATTCCACATAACAATAGCATTGTCTTAATTCCAACTCATCATAGGGAGGGGTGCTAATGCAAGATTCATCCCAAACTTCCCATTGTAGATAACACAGCAACTATACGATCATCCATTCTGCAGAGGATCACACTGCTAATTGGGGAACACAAGTCTCCTCTGCAGTTGGCGAAGCCAAGTCCCAGCATTTACAGACGGCCGGGTCCATGCTGGGACTTGTAGTGTCACATCGGCTGCGGATCTACAGATTGGATTCCCCAATCTGATCCATAGAACTGACACGTCTTACCTTGGTCCACTGATGCCTATCTGGATCAGAGTAAATCCTGTCCACAGCTATCCCCGTATATCTGCAGCATGATTGCTCAGGAGATCTCAAGGCACAATAGACAGCCCGAGCTTGTCTTTCTCCATTCCCTTCCCCCTCCGGGAGAGATAAGGCAGCTAGCACGGTCACATAATAAATCACTTCAGTCACATAATAAATGTTATTGCTATTACATAGGAGGATAACAATCCCCCTATGTGATAGCAAAGGCACACTGACAGGTCCTCTTTATGGAGACATTAAGGATCTCTAAGACCCCTAATGTCACCTGGGGACACCCAAAGAAGCTGATGAAGCACAGATCTGCGTGTGTGTGTGTGTGTATATATATATATATATTATATATACATACATACACACTGTGAGGATTAGCTTCAAATGGTAGTGCATTCAAGACACTTCCACTCGAAAACAACTTCTTTTTAGGGCTTCTTGCCCACTTTTATATAAACATTCAAATAGGTTTTTCCCTCACAGGGGTTTCTCCAACATAAAGTAAAGTCTTTTTGCTAACGGCAAAATAACATTTCCAACGTCTCTCCAACTTCAGGTTGTGTTTTTAACAAAACCTTTCCCACACAGGCTGTATCAAACACACTTGCCACACAGGCTCATCCTTGTCCCCTGGCCACACAGGCTGGTTTCACCACACAGGTAATCCGCTCCACCCAGTCTGCCAGACCCACAGACTGGTTCCAGGGAGGGGCTCCTTTCTTAGGAGGCTGGGTGCCCTTGTAGGAGGCACTAACAAGCCAGTTAGCTTCAGCTGGGCTTGTTACCTCCAAGCCTTCATCACAAGTTCAGTTCATTTTTCTAGCGTATGCACAAGTGGATATACACAGTATAGCTTCTCAAAGAAAGGGAAATGTCCATAACATACATAGACTTTCTCCACCGTTATCCACTGAAATCATGGATGGAAAAGCAAAACTGGCCATCTCTCAACCAGTTTCCAGCTCCTGCTTCTTGCATCAATTTTCCTGCCAGCTATTTCAGAATATTTCAGCATATACTTTATGACAGCAGGTTTCACAGTCTTTGGCTTATCATGTCATGCAAGAAGCACACAGAGCACACAGACAGACTCCCTCTGCTGCATCAGCTGCAACAGCTTCCTCGACATCAGCCGTCCTAAGCCGAGCCACTAGGGGTTAACAGGAAGCTGGACTCTTGCCCGACCTCCCCCTTCATCTGTGGTCTCTTAGGCTCTGTTACTGCAGTCCAGAATTCCTGGGATTCCTGTCTCAGTCGGCTCCATGGCAACGGCAGCACAGTGATGGTGCATTAGTCTCTGTGGCTGATAACACTGTCCCCAGTGAGCATCTGACAACTTGTGCAACAGGGCAGACGCGCAAGCTCAGGACCTCACAAAAAGTTGGATTTTGTTTCGTCTGTCCACAGCACATTCTCCAAAAAAACAAAATCCTTTTGAGAGAATGTGCTGTGGACGGACAGACAAAACAAAATTACAGCTTTTTTGGTAAAGCCCATCATTCTACTGTTTTCAAAAAGAGAAATGAGGCCTTTAAAGAAAAAAATACAGTCCCTACAGTCAAACATGGTGGAGGTTCACTGATGTTTTGGGGTTGCTGTGCTGCTTCAGGCACTGGATGTCTTGACTGTGTGCATGGCATTATGAAATCTGAAGACTACCAAAGAATTCTGGGGTGCAATATAGGGCCCAGAAAGTTGGGTCTCCGTCAGAGGTTATGGGTCTTACAGCAGGACAATAACCCAAAGCACACGTCAAAAAGCACCCAGAAATGGTTTCAGACAAAGCGCTGGAGAGTACATGACAGGCCAGCAATGAGTCCAGATCTGAATCCCATAGAGCACCTGTGGAGAGATCTCAAAACAGCAGTTGGGTAAAGGAACGCTTCCAATCGGAGAGACCTGGAGCAGTTGGCGAAAGAAGATGTAATAAACTTACCTCTGCTCGTTCCAGCGAGGCCGTCCGGCTCTACCCACTCCAGCAGCGTCACACTGCTCCGTCCCTGTCACCCTGGCAGCCTCGCACCGATCCTCCTCTGTCAGATGAAACGGTGGGGTTTTCAATTGCGGGGCATCCTAGTGATGTTGTGACGATGAGCAATCAACCCCACCAACACTACACTGCTCTCCATCCTGCAGGTTTACTGCAGTCATTTACTCCCCAATACTGCCGAGTGTCATTCCTGGGGGGAAATCCTCTGGAGAGTCCTCTTATTTGTGGGAGCCAGTTCATACAGCCTGGGACCTTCACAACCTCTGCTTTCATCTAAGCCAACCAAACCGCAAGTACCTCCAACGATTGAGGTAATGTAATGGTTACAAGTAGTACTGTTGAACTACAAATCTGCCACTTACTATCGTGGGCCAAGTAATACTTGTTCTGAAAGCAGGATTCCTGCACATTGTATTACAATTGCTATATTCAGTTGTTGCAGCAATAGACTGTGATTGAAGTGCTGTTGAACTACAAATCTCATCTCCCACTTACTATCTTGGGTCAAGTAGTACTTGTTCTGAAAGCAGATTACCGTTACGTTGTATTACAATTGCTATACTCAGTTGTTGCAGTTATAGACTATTTGAGTGAAGTGCTGTTGAACTACAAATCCTATCTGCCACGTGTATTGGTTATCGAAATAGTGTTGCAGTATCATTAATTATTGCTGAAACCGGTGTTGTACAGTGCTTCACATAGTTGTATTGTATAAACTATATTGTGGGAGAGTGTTGAACTATAGATCCCATCCGCATCCAGTCCACAGACTAAGGCATGTGCTCCAAGGGTAGTACTCTTGGAATTATTCTTTTCCTTCCAAAGTTATAAATCGATAAACAATTGGTGTCCCAGTTATGCACAAAACTGACTGCAAGAGGTAATGCAGCAGTAATAAGTGCAGGATTCAATTTTGTTTTTGTTTGCACAGTGTATGATGTTATACAGTTCCTACGACCGATCTTGCTCACCATAGAGCGTATGTTGTAGAACTGCAAACTGAACCACCCAATACCTGCATGACAGACTTTGTCGCATTCAGGGAAAGATGTACTGGCCAAGCCAATCTTGGCAGTTGAGATCCAGATCAGAGAAGCAAATCTTGCTAGAGCGTTATAGAAGAGTGGTCCAAAATTCCTGTAGAGAGGTGTAAGAAACTTACTGATGGTTACAGGAAGCCATTGATTTCAGTTATTTGTTCCAAGAGCTGCGCTACCAAATATTAATTGAGGGTGCCAATAATTTTGTCCAGTCCATTTTTGGAGTTTTGCGTGGAATGTGTCAGATTTGGCTTTTTTTTCTCCACTTTTTTGTGTTATACCAATACAACAAAAGAAATAAACACGAGAATGCCTAAACATTTGTAATTGCAACAATTTTCTGTGCAAAGTGATGCATTATCTGACAGAAGTGCAGGGGTGCCAATATTCTGTCCCAGTTTCAGGTGTAGTGCTGAGGTTCTTACTCTAGGGGGAAGTGTTGAGAGTGCTTACAGGTAACAAGCCCAGCTGAATCAAGCTGGCTTATTAGGGTCTCCATAAGATCTTCCAGCCTGCCAAGTGAGTTGTTCCACCCGGGAGACAGAGGAGGTCTATGTGCATGAGTCAGGAAACCTCCACCCTGGAACCAGTCTGTGTGTCTGGCGGAAAGGGGAGTGGATCACCTGTGTGGTGAAAAGCAGCCTGTGTGGAAAAATATGAGCCTGTGTGGCAAGGGGACAAGAACCAGCCTGTGTGGTGAGTGTGTTGGATACAGCCTGTGTGGGAAAGGTTTTTGTTGGAGACAACCTGCAGTCGGTGAGACCTTTCACGATGGCCACAATGGCACACTTTAGAGGTGCACTTTTTCCTTAGCCCACAGAAAATGCCCCTACCATTAAAGGGCAGTTGTGTGTGTCTACCAGATGATAAGTTCCCAGTCCTTCCCTTGCAAAGTGTTCTCAATAACATTGCCTTACACACATTTGCAGATTTGCAATACTAAATTCACATGCAATTTATTTATTAACAATTAATT